CAGGATATATATGATCATATTGCTTTGGAGTGGATATAATGAAATGGGGCATGCATCTCTATCATGTCCTTTTCTCAGCGCAGAAGCCTTAAAAATATCTATCTTCGAATAGGTGGATTTTGGATCCATAGAACTTAAAAGATAAAAAGATTCCTCAGCGCAGAAGCCTTAAAAATATCTATCTTCGAATAGGTGGATTTTGGATCCATAGAACTTAAAAGATAAAAAGATTGTTGGAATGATAGAGAAATTGGAAAAGAGAAAATTACTTCTATATCTTTGTAATTTCACGTTATTTAAATTTTAGCTCAATTTTATTTTCCTAATATTTTTTTCCTCAAAATTTTTAAAAAGACCAAATTGCGCATGTTTTGGATCTTCAAGATCAAAAACCATACGTTTTTAGGATTTAGTTATTTTTTCAATTTTTAGATTTTGAATATCCGAAAAAAAATTAAACCAAAAAACCCTCTCTCTTTCTCTATGGAAGAAGTGAAACAAGCAGCCTTCTCCCCCCCTGGTGATAAGGCACCAGGCTCTGATGGCCTTCTTCTTTTCTTGTTCCATAAATTTTGGAATCTGGTTTGTAGTGAGCTGCTGAAAATAGTCTATGATTTCATGAGAAGAGGTGAACTATTTAGAGGGGTCAATTCCTCCTATATAACGCTTATTCTAAAAAAGGTTGTCATTGCAAGCCTTGGTGATATAAGGCCCATTAGTTTGCTTTCAAACCTCTATAAAATTATTGTCAAGGTGCTTGCAGAACGACTAAAAGTAGTCTTATCGGATATTATCATTGGGCCCCAGTCTGCATTCATCAAGGATAGGCTGCTTACTGACAGTATTTTGGTTGCACATGAGTGCATTCATTTGAGAATTTTGAGTGATGAAGCCGGGGTAGTGATTAAACTGGATATGAAAAAAACATATGATATGGTAGAATGGAGCATTCTGTTAAAGATCATGAAAAACATGGGCTTTGGTGAGAAGTGGAGAAACTGGATATATGGTTGCCTATGCTCTTCTTTCTATTATGTTCAAGGGTAGTTCGTGTGGTTTCTTCCGCACATCCAGGGGGTGACCCCCTATCCCCTTTTTTGTTCACTATTTATGCAGAGTGTTTCGGTCGATTTCTGTACAATATAGTAGCTTGTGGATATTTTGTGGGTTTTCACTTGCCTAATGATGGTTCTTGCATCTCGCACTTACAATATGCCGATGATACTTTGCTTTTTTGCGAGGCTAGGTCTGAGCAGGCTGCTAATATTGCAACTTTCTTGAATTGTTGCGAAGTGAAATGGGGCTCAAGGTTAATTTTGCAAAGTCTGTTGTGGTGAGTATTAACTATGATGAGTCTTTGCTCTCTGAGATTGCTGAGACGATGGGTTGTAAGGTAGAAAGCTTTTCAATTATGTACTTGGGATTGCCAATTTCAGGTGGCCGATTACCATTAGCTATCCGGGATAAAGTGATCCAAAGAATACAAGTCAAGCTTGATTTGTGAGAGTACAAATATCTATCTTTGGGAGGGAGGATCACTTAAATTAAAGCTTGTCTATCAAATTTATCTATTTATCAGATGTCCTTGTTGCAGATTCCTCTTAGGGTGGCCAAGAAAATGGAAGTTTTAAGGATGAATTTTCTTTGGGGCTCATTTGAAAACTTAAAAAAGTTTCATCTTCTTCGATAGGATAGAGTGTGCACGCCTAGGAAGGAAGGTGGACTAGGTATAAGGAGAATCAATTTGGTTAACCAGGCTCTCCTATACAAGTGGTGGTGGAGAAGCTTAAACCTAAAACATCAGTTGTGGTATCAAGTTATTGCTGCCAAGTATGGTGGTGATAGATATAAAATATAGGTTGGACTGAGAAATGGTACTAGAGGAATGTCATACTGCTCGAGATCCATTAATCAATGTAAATCCTTGATGCATAGAGACATTCGCTGGTGTATGGGAGATGGCCATAATATATCCATTTGGCACCATAAGTGGGTAGGGTCTTTGCCGCTGAAATATCTCTTTCCTTCAGTTCTTCAACGTATGGATAATCCCAATGTTGTTGTTGTTGATCTTTATGAATGTAGATGTTAGACGTGATAAATTTCAAGAAATATTGTTCAAGTTGGGATTTATTAATCTATACGCTCCAACCTGAGGGAGAGTGTTGAAATATATGGAATGTTTAAAGATATGGAAAGTGGTTGGGCTGGCTTGAGCTGCCCCTTGTTATCCCTATAACTTTTATTCTTGTTCTTTACAGTTTCTTCTTTCTTTGCCTTCTCTTTATAGCATGATTGAGCTATAATAGCCATGGCTCTTCTATAAATATGTATGATTGTACTTAGAGAAGCCATGACAAGAAATAAAGTACAATCTCTTCGTGGATGTAGGCCCAATGCCGAACCACGTAAAAAATTTTATCTTCACTTTTTCGTTTTGACAGTAGAGGTAACCAAGTTTTTTAGAACATTGTTCTTCCCTATAATAGGATCTCCAAACAAATATTTTGGAAGTATGTGAGCTCATTATCTCTCCTTTAAGAAGTCTATATTCCACAGCATGCCTCAGATGTAGTCATTTGGGTGGTTGATCCAGATGGGCTGTACTCGGTGAAGCCTATGTATAAGCTATTGTTCCATGACCGTTGGAGATGGTCCATGCCTGAAATTACCACCATTTGGAAATGTCATTTACCTTGAAGGTTCAAGCATTTCTATAACTGCAGTGCAAGATAAGGTACTCCTATTGACAATCTCATTAAAAGATGTAAGATTCTGCCTAATATTTGTTTGTTGTGTAAGGATGTTGCTGAAACAGGTCCTCATCTATTTCTTCATTGTTATTTCACCTACAAAATTTGGCGGTGGTTTTTTTGATAAACTTGGGATTGCTATGGTGATGCCTGCCGAGGTGATAGGGGTAATCTCAAAATTGTCGGTCAATATTCTTCCCAATATTGGGGTGGTTATTTGGCAAATTGTGAGAGGTATGATTCTGTGGGAAGTTTGGAAGGAAAGAAATCGACGTGTATTTGATCGTTTCTACGTGCACGTTGAGAGAGTTTTGGAAAAAATATTACATGTTGTGTGGCTCTCATGCTCTGTGACAAAGGTGGGGTGTGATGCTCTGGAAGTGGATGTCAAGAGAAACTTAACAAATCTTTTCCAGTTGGGTTCTTTCAAGTGCAGACCGAAGGGTAGATGGATGCCACCTTTGGAATGAACCTTTAAACTTAATTTCGATGGTAGTTCATTTGGGAATCCAATAGCTGCTGGGTTTGGAGGTGTAGTGAGAGATTGGAATGGAGTTGTTGTTTTTTCTTATGCGGGTCGGTTGGGGGAAAAAACGGCTAACTATGCATAGATGGTGGCTCTACTTCATAGATTAAAACATTTCGTAGATAGAAGGGTGGGACATTTTTGTGTGGTGGAAGTGGACACGTTGAATGTCATCAACTAGTGCAATGGGGTTCAAAAACCACCCTGGGACTTTCGGCCCTTTTTATTGCAGATATGAGATATGTTCAAGCCCGTTGCTTTTTCCTTTGTGCATGTGTTTCATGAAGCCAATGTAATGGCATATCATCTTGCTAAACGTGGCTCTGCCTTAATCGAGACTTTGGTCTTGGACTCTGTAATTTTATTGTAGTCTTTGAATAATAAAGCTCTGAAATCTTATAAAAAAAAACAAAAACTCTCTCTCTTTCTCACTCTACAATTTTTGGATTTTGACTGTCTGAAAATTTATTGAGCCCAAAAATTTTATTTTTTACAGCTTTGAATTTGAATAATCAAAATTTCTTTTAGCCCAAAAGTTTCTTATTCTTACAAATTTTAGAATGTCAAAATATGAAAATTTTAAAAATGTAATTTTTGGGTTGAAAAAAATTTTGGATATTCAAAATTCAAAATTCAAAATTTGCAAAAAGAAATAAAGAAATAAACTAACTAAATTTCAAAAGTATAAAGTTTCAGATCTTAAAGATCTGAAATTTAGTGAATTTGGTCTTTTTAAAACAAAAAAGAGAAAAAACGGTTACAAAATAAAAATAGAAAGAACTTAGGTAAATTTTAAACAACATGAGTTATAGGAGTCATACACGTAAATTTCACATAAAATAACCTAGGCTCTTTATTAAAAAAACTGAAGCCTTTCACGAGGTCAGCACACAAAGGCGGGCAAACATGCCATATTTGGAGCATTAAGGTCCACCAGCCCTTTCGAATAAAAAATAAGCAAGGTTAGGTACACCGAATACCATCAATAGTTCAAGTATGATATATGGTACAACAAAAGAACTGTTGGTGGAGATTAACTTATCGCTGCAGTCTACAGTGAATTTCCCACCTTTGATCGTAAATTGAATTTTCCTATATTGTTCGGTATTTATGTTGTTTTATGGCTTTAGGGTTGGCGATGGGCTAGGCGGCTCAGCCCGCCCTGTCGGTCATGACTAAAAAAGTAAGACCTGGGCCGGGTTAGGGTCACTAACCGCGCCAGCCCAATTTTTTTTTTTTTTCTTGTTTTTTTTTTCTATTTTTTCTTTCCAGGCCGGCCTCGGACGGGCCCTATGGGTATAAAGTCCAGGTTAAGGCCACTGCTGGCCCGGCGCAGGCCTGGCCCATTGCCACCCTTTTATGAATGAACCACTTTGTTGTTTGGGGCCCCTTTTTGGGCAGACCACTTACCAAGGAATAGTGCCATTCATTGGTCCGCACCACAATTCATAAGCGATCCATTTTAGAGAGAGCTGAAATGTAATACTGTTATTTGCCTGTAAATTACCTTTTCTATGTTATTGAATCATGCAACTTGGACCCCCCGCCATAACTTTGAACTATATTTTATTCTTTTTGAGAATTATAACAATTCTGTGAAAGAATCAAGACATGAGAAAACAAAACGAGAGCATGGGCCTTGCTCCGTCAATAGTGTGCTATAAGAGTGCCCTGGCCACCATCGAAACCAAGGCAACCTGTAACCAAGAGAGAGACAGAGAATGGTAAGTGTGGAGGAGCTTCGAAAGGCACAAAGGGCAGATGGGCCAGCAACGGTGCTAGCCATAGGGACGGCAAACCCACCCAACGTGGTGGAGCAAGCCCACTTTCCCGACTTCTATTTCAACATCACCAACCTCCAAGACTTATACCTTAAAGACAAATTCTCTCGCATATGTAAGTGTCTGTTTTTTTTTCAATGTTGATTTGACAGATTTCAAATTTTCCAATAACTTGCAAAAGTTTATAGAGTACAATCCGTAGTATAAGCGTGAAGGAAAATATACAAAACGACCAATCATTTACTTTTAATACAAGCAGATCACAATCACTATTGTGTGTTAGATTTCAAATCGGGTAATTATAAAAGTGTTATTGACTATACTCAAAATCCCAAAGACAAAATTTGAATTCTATGGCACATCCCAAATCATTCGATTTGGCATCTAATAGATAGGCATGATTGTGGTATCCTTCTATAAAAGATAAATAGTCTCATAGTATACAATCCTAAATATGAATATTACAAAAGGAAAAAGTTTATTTAAGGTCAAGTAAGGCATTCATCATAAGAGTTGTTCTGATGTCAAAAAGCCATACAATTAATCATCTTGGCGTCGAGATATGTGGATACGAGAAAAAAAATGATTCTATATTTTAAAAATAGTACGTCTTATAACACATTATTTAGACCATCTATTTTTCAAGATTTTTAAGCATTTATAGATCTGGTTGATCTACACTACTTTGAAATTTTAGATTTCATAATTAAAAGTAAAAATAGAATATCGTGAGGATTACCAGCACCTAAACCATATCAAGATTTAGATGTGAGCCTTACTTTGAATGCTTAAGGTTGACATCCTATACAAACCATATCCATTGCAAAGTTAGTTATAGAATAACTACTAAATCTTTACGATGGAAGGAATGGACTCAAGGCAAAAGTGATCAAGGTGTTCGGTGCCACAACATTATATCTTGAGTTCCATACCACCACGAGTAGATGACCCCTCCATTGATCAGAAAAACTTTATATGGCACACCTCCTTTAGCTAACTCATCAACCCACATACTTGCTTTGCGATGGCAATTGTTCACCAGAACCTAGTTTGCAGTTACAATATCTATAATTTCAGCCATAAAAGAAACATGTCGACATGGTTGTATTGATATATATTGTAGGGTACCCTATAGAGTTAAAATTGGTAGATATGGTCAAATAGTGGTAGAAAATTTTAACTTATAACATCCCAACAACAATAGTTGCATTTTTTTTACAAATAGCATCCCTTCAAATTGGTAGAAAATATTAACTCTCTAGTAAGAATCCCTTCAAATTATAACATCTCAACAACAATAGTTGCAGTTAAGTAAGTTTCATTCACACAAGTGCGGTTGTTTAAGCAGGCGCCAAGTCAGGGATCAAGAAGCGCCACCTCTTTCTCACTGAGGAGAGGCTGAGCGCCAACCCAAGCCTCTGCTCCTACATGGCCCCCTCCCTCGACGCACGACAAGAGCTTGTGCTTGAGGAGATCCCTCGCCTCGGTAAAGAGGCAGCCCTATGTGCCATCAAGGAGTGGGGACAGCCTGTGTCTGGCATCACCCACCTCGTCTTCTGCACCACCAGTTGCATCGACATGCCAGGTGCTGACCTACGCCTTGCGAACCTCCTCAATCTCTCCCCTTGTGTCAACCGCGTCATGCTCTATCTGCAAGGTTGCTTTGCAGGGGCCACTGCCTTACGCATCGCAAAGGACCTTGCCGAGAACAACCACAATGCTCGTGTCTTGGTCGTCTGTTCAGAGATGATCCCAATTTTCTTTAGGGGGGTCCACGCATCCCATCTAGAGAGCCTCGTGGGCCCTGCACTCTTTGGAGATGGCGCGGCTGCCGTGATCATCGGTTCCGACCCCTTGACTACAGAACGAGCGCTCTACCAGCTCGCTTGGGCCGGCCAGAGCATCGTGCCGGACAGTACACATGCGCTAGCAGGCCACCTCCGTGAGGTGGGCCTGACCTTCACGCTGAGCAAGGAGCTACCCATGTTGCTCACTAAGAGCGTCAAAGACTGCTTGAGCCACGCACTGGAGCCACTAGGCATCACAGATTGGAATTCTATATTCTATGCCGCACACCCCGGTGGACCACTGGTCATGGACAAGATGGAGAATGAGCTCGGGTTGAAGCCCGAGAAGCTTCGGGCCACACGTCATGTGTTGGAGGAGTATGGGAACATGTCAAGCCCAAGTGTTCTCTTCGTGCTTGACGAGATGCGGAAGTGGTCTGCAGAACAAGGGGCCGCCACGACCGGAGAAGGGCTCGAGTGGGGCGTGCTCTTTGGGTTTGGGCCCGGGCTCACCATCGAGACTGTTGTGATCCGTAGCATGCCTACATAGACACATCAGTCCCTTCATACTTTTCATGCCATGCACTACGCAACCGTTGTCAGTGCGTTATTGTAACACTGTTTCTTTTTCCCCTTTCTTTTTCTAGGTAAGTTATTTAGGTGCCATAAGGCATGTGTGTGCCATGTGTATCTCTATTATTATTCACGGATAAACCATGTACTGCCCTAATTTGTATTGAAATATTTTCTATTATGTTATCTATTGGGATTGTCTACGAAGAGACCATTTATCTTTTGTATATGGAGTTCACAATGATTTGATTCATTAGATGTCAAATTGGATAGCTTGGGGTGAGTCACAAAGTCCGGCAATTTTTTTTTTAACTGCATCTCTTTAATGATGCTCTTACAACCAACTATTTTGAAATTTAAAAAGACAAGAATGATTGTGACCTTTATGTACAGAAGATAGAATAGTCTCTCTGTAGACAATCCCTTATCTATTTCTAAAATAGTGTTAAATACTGAATATCATCGAGTCTTGTACAAGAAAGCATGGGAAGTGCTCAATAACTAAATAGTTTAATTATCTTGGTTAAGACCATAGTCAGGTTACATAAGCCGTTGCTGAGCTCCATTAGGGTTGGTTAGCGGTAATAGCATTCTCCTCACCTTTATCATAAGGTTTCCCATGCAATATAATCCCAACGTTGTTGGAACATAAAACTAGTGTCTCAAAATCTTGTAAAATAAGCTGCAGATTTAAGAAATTGACAAAAAATACAAAAATCTATGACGGATCATTGATCATGATTACCGAAAAACAAGAATGTAAATTAACAAATTTAAACATACCTGCAATGAAGAAACAACTTTTGGTTATGATATTTGAATGGGTGAACTGGCCTTCACCTCTTTTCTCCTCCATGCTTGATGAGGACCTTCCTTGTGAAGAATGAGCTAGAGATTGACTGTCATATTATATCTCTATTATTTTTATTTTCTTAATCCTAACCGATCTTATGGAGTTATCATTAAGAGAGAGTGGAGGGAGGTGGTCACCAATTATCCTTATTTTATATTTGATAACCATTTATCTTAAAGTATGAATAATATTTCCCTTCTATAATTATTGTGAGACCACAAATTAAGAATATTTTATAACATTCTCGCACTCGGGTTGATAATAATTATGGTTGAAAATACATCCTTAATGCAAACATATGCAAAATTTTCTCTAAAAATCAAAACTTTGACAAGTAAAATTACTAATACCAAATCATGAAAGCTAATTAAATTCTATAAAAGGCACAATGTCCTTTCATAGTTACTCTATATAGACTCCAATATGTAACCTTTATGGCGGACATCTTTATGGTGGATAAAACTTTATGATATGGTAAGCTCCATATCTCACCTAAAACCTGTTCAATTATCTTTATGTATCCATATACCAAAACATGGACTTTGATTCATCAAATATGTATTAATCAAACCGATGAATACCACATATTGTATGATGGCAATATAACTGCCACTAACAAGTGCATTCCATATATTTCTTAAACCCATGTAACAACACACTCTACAAACAATTTGGGACATAGACCCTTGGTCAAGATAACAACAACCATCAGTTGTGTACCCATGTGCTCAATGGACATTAAAAGTTCCCGTACTTTCTCCCTTACAACAAGATATGTTAATTTCTATATGCTTGGAATTGTCCAAACTCTTGTTGTCTTCGAGAAGAAAATTCTCAATGGCTTGGAAGTAGAATCTACAACCCAGAGCCTCGAGATAAAAGTATGCAGCCATAGAGCTTGCTTGCTAGCTTTATAGCAAGCTACAAAATCTATTACCGTAGTTGACAAAGCTATGACCTATTTACTTCTTACTCTACCATGAAATGGCTCCACCAACCCTCATGAAGATGTAACCTGATGTCAACTTCCTATCGTCCAGATAGGCAGCAAAATCTATAACTGAATATCGAATAACATCAAAATGATCAAATTTACTTTATGTGAGCATAATATTCTTTGTTCCTTACAGATACCTCATTATTTTCTTAGTCGATTTCTAATGTTCTAGCCCTAAGTTACTTTGATATCTACTAACTATATTGACAGCAAAAGCTATATATGTATAGGTGCAAACTTGAGCATAGATTAAATTTCCCATAACAATTTGGGGACATTGTAATTTGTTAATTTTATCACCCTTAATAGGAGCTACAACTGGATAACAATTATGCATATTATACTTCTTGAGTACCCTCTCAATGTATGCCTTTTATGTTAATCCTAAAATACCTCGAGATCTGTCTTGATGAATTTTGATTCCAATCACACATGAAGCTTCATCCAAGTCCTTCATGAAACAAGTTTTGTTTCATGCAACGTATGAATGTTACTACTAGGCAGTAGAATGTCATCGACATATAGAATCAATACAATGAATTTACTCCCGCTTAACATAGACTTTAATGCATTTGTCCACAAGATTCTCAACAAACGCAAAATACCTAAAAGTAACAACTTATAGACCATAAATCCAATTTCTATTTAAAAGGGTTATAAAATGTTGCTTCTCTGGGGTATCCCCACACATGCAATTGTCTTAAACTAGGCTTCCTACCAGTCTATAACTCCATATGGGGTCTTTAGCAAGGTTTACTAGGAACACAATTCAGTATATAAACAACAGTCTTCAGGGCTCCCCTAGATAAACAGACAAATTTTAGTTACAAACTATGGTCCTTTCTTGACTAATCTTTGAAGCCTTTGTCTTAGGATGTACAACAACATAGATGAATTCTCATTCACATTTTCATGTTTCACATTACACATATGTAGGGATAAGAGAGATTTAATAAAAATATAATTCAAATTTAGAGACCATCACTTAATTTTTATTGCCAAAATTAAATAAAGCTATTAATATATAATTTTAGTACTAATATAATAGTTGGCACATAAATAGTATTTTTTAGGTCTAATACAAAACCACCATCTAGAATTAATCTAACTACTCCTATCACATTTATTTCTTCTTCAACTCAATTTGCCATTACAAGCTTCTGTTTCCCATTAATGAGTCTCTGACTGTTGAGGAATACCTTTATTTTCCAACTTCTTATATTTTAGGAAATCTCTCTTCAAATGCCCCGTCTTCCTGCAAAAGAAGCATTTTGTTTCCTTCTGGTTATTTTGTTTCTGAATTTGAGTAGTAGGCCCTTTTGATGATAATTTGCATGCATCTCAAAACCTTTATTTTTTGAAGCTCTAAATGGTCCTTTTTTACCTAAACTAGTCTCTGCTAAATGGGCGACCTTTAGCTTAATTTGATTTAATCTTTCTTCTTCTTGAAAACACATGATTTGAAAATCGTTCAAACTCCACTTTTCTTTCTGAGTATTATAATGGAGCTTGAATTGACTATACTGTGCAGGCACATAATTGAGAATGAACTGCACCAAAAAAACCTTTGAGATCTTCATGTCCATGGATATCATATGATTTGTAAAGTCAATCATTTGTATAATATGGTGCCTAGAGTTGTGGCCATTGTATCTAGGGTTGCCATGGTCTATTAGAGTTGTGGCTATTTGGAAAGTCAATCATTAGATCTATTTAGAGCTTCAATGCCATCTAGGGTTGCAATGATTGTCAAACATTCATGCTCACAAAATTGTATTTACCAATAAAACTTAGTAATAACTTTCCATAAAATATTAAAATCATGTGCCTTTTAGTGAGCAGATGCATCATCATAACCCCTCCTTTGGACCAAGAGTATGAAATGCAAATGGCTTCTTATTAGTGAATTGTCAATCCTTATGTCCACCATAGGGCTAGTGATTATAAACATCATAGATGTCGAACAAGTTACTCCTTTGGGTTTAACACCTTCTTGGTCTATAGTGCTCACAATTACAACCCTATTTCGCACTGATGAAAAATTACATTTAGGCTTGATTTCTATTTGTAATCGCTCAACGCCAATTTGTGGGCTCCTTTATGATTCCCAAAAAATTTTAAAAGAAATAAGTCAAAACCAAAAAATATTATTGAGACTCATCAAAAGTTTAATACCATCCAATTTCTCATGATTGCATCACTATGGTGGTTTCACAATCATTCCAAATTGGTTGGATTAAAATTAATGAGAGCCCACCCTTTTCTAATTTATTTTTTATTAGAAAAAAAAACTCAATGGGAAGATAGAGAGGAGAGAAAGAAATATGGGCCCTAATTTTCAACTTGCACCCTTTTGATAATGAATGACTATTTTCGTTAGGGGCTGGGGTCGTGGTGGTAGCACCCCACATCCTAGTCACTACATTGTGATTTCCACCCACCACTAACACCGACCCACTAATACTTTCAAAAAGTTAACTCTTAATCTACTTGAAAAATGGGTAGGCGCTTGTCTTCCCCACTGAATTACCCAGAAAAAAAAAATGACTATTTTCATTCCTCGTTCCCCATCATCAAAAGCGAAGTCTTCTTAGGGAAACAAAAGTAAGGAACAGACTTTCAAAAGCAAAGAATAATAATACATGGGGAAATAAAAACTTGAATCCTCAAAAGTCTATAGCTTTGAAACCATAGCCAAACGACATGATCCTTGTTCTCTTTGTTTCCAATTTTCGATATATAATCAAGCTCAAAGTAAAAAACTATGTTTAACACAACGCAAAATACTTTCTCTCTCTAACTTGGTGAGTCTGGCTAAAAATAGAGCACATGGCTGTGACCAAATCAGTGCCCGTTGAGGAGTGTTGAAACACAAAAAAACCCTCCCATTTCTCAAGGGGAAAAGGACTCATCCAAGACTGAACCCTCAATAATCAAGAAGATACCAACCATAAACTGGAAATAGGGAGGAATAACAAAAAACAATGTAATTGCAAAAAATAAAAAAACAATCAGCAAAATAATTGTAAAAACCTTGAAAGGCATATGAGTTCTAGTAACAACAACAAAATCTAGACATGCACGCACCTTATTACAGAAACCCAAGCCTGAAACCCTGATCCTATTGCTTTTAGGGTTACGAATTGGTTTCATGAATCTATGGAGCCTGATCTAGCTGGTTCTTGAAAAATATATAACGAGGGGTTGGGTTTTCAATTTTAGTGGTCTATGAGAGCTGTTATTTTCAGTTTTATCAAATTGATTGTAGCCATGGCAAGATTTAGGTT